CAGATTAGCAAACTGGAACTTCATCCAGCAATCAAACGAGTGATTTTTAACAAAACAGCCCCTCCAAGCCACAAGCAAATACTACTCGTGCCCCAAAATGAAGGCAGTCAAGATCTAAGCTCTTAGGAGCCAGTGAGAACCAGGCTCAAAGGCAAAACAAACATTTCAATCCAAATAACTAATCTGAAATTCTGATTTTCTCTAGAAATAAGAGCAAATATTCCGTGGGCAAAAGTCAGCTTTGCGATTTTACCCTGAGGGTTGCCAAGCACTTATCCTACGGGGGAATATGCATATGCAATGCAAAGATGTCTTTTAAGGTTTCCAGATCAACCTGGCTAATAGTTAAATAATTAAGCAGCTGGCAGATGCTATCCAATTTCACCTGCTGTAGCTGCAAGGGATAAAAAGATTCATATTCTGTTTGAACCTCCACGGTTAGACACGACTGTCAATTATTGATGCGGTAAAGAGGAGAGCTGATAAGGAAATAAGTTTGGGAGACTTATCACTTAGAGGGGAGAGGCCCTTACAATTGGTTTAAGCCTTCACAAAAATGCAGCATGTCCCATTTTAGTCACGGAGTTCCAAGAGCCAATGCAAAAAAAAAATAACTATAATAATTATTTGAATTGCATATATGTTTATTTAGTGTAAGTCCATTTATTTAATGTAATAAACACAGCTGAATGACCCCCCCCTCTCTTCTCCAAAGAGTTTTGCAGCTTTTGGGATAACATCAAAAGAGCTTTCTACCTGCGGGACACGCCAGTAAGAATCAGCAAAGAACAGGTGTAGTGATGCAAGACGCAACCGCCTAAAACTCTCCTGGCAGTTCAAAGGTTATCTCTACATAATTAACCAAGGGAAGGACAGATGGCAGCCACATCCACAGAACACTTTGAAGTCCAAGTACAACTCCTACCAGAATACATCATGTCTCCCAAGCAGTTTTAGCTTAAACCACATTCAATAAGTTACGTGGACAAATCATTTCGGTCTCTTAACCAGCGTGCTGAGACTTTCGGATTTATTCCTGTCCTGAGTTCATTTTTTATTTCTTCTGCTTAGGCAGGCAGTAGGTGTCCCAGTGGTTTTTGTTTAATCGTGTGTTATTTGCTCACAAGACAAAGGATGATAAAAACCCCTTTATTTTGCTCCATCACTGCAGGCTGTGAGAACCTGAAGTGAGGCAGAAACAGGGAAAAAAAAACACAAAAAACCCTGCCAATTAGGAGCTCCCGATTTTGTCCTTAACTGTATGAGCATTATCACAATTATCGCAAGAAGGAGAGCACACTCTACAATTTCAGCAACCAAAAATTACGAAGTTGCTCTGAAAGCATGAGAAACTGAAGCAGAACGGCACTCCGAGACTTCCTCCGTATTACCGAGGACTGTAACCTCAGGGTAACAATCCTAAATCAACCATCTCCGACACAGTGCTGGGATTTCCAGCCAGAAGTGGGCCACCCATGGTTCCAGAGCCACAAGTGGCCCCATTTCCTCACTTTGTACCCCACATGATTTTTAAAAAACTAGTGGTTTCCCTTCATTATAAAGAAGGAAATAGATGAAAACGGAAGCGTGTGTCTTAAAACATATACCAATAAAGAAGAATATCTGCAAAGTATTGAAATGTGACATCCTTGAAGCTCTCTGAGCTTGGTTGGGTTCTTGCAGACATTTCACTACCCAAACTAGTTGGACTGATGATGTTACCTAGTTTGGGTAATGAAATGTCTGCAAGAACCCAACCAACCTCAGAGAGCACCAAGGATCTGTCACTGAAATAGGCATATCACACTTTTTTTTTTTTTTAAAGGGAAACCCCCACATTTTGACAGACCCAGGTGTGGCCACTTAAGCAGTGTGGCCCTGCTACTCTCTGGCTGCTACTCGCCTTAAACACCAACTTTAACTATTAAAACACGGCTTTCTTGCTTACCTGTTGCTTCAATGTATTCGATGCATCTCTCAATAAAAAGGGGAATGGGCTTTTCTGGGGTCACTACAGTGGTCAGAGGCACCCCAAAATAGTTGCTCTCCCAGGTAGTCTTTGTGATAGATGGTCGAGGCTTAGGCTTTGGTTTCTGTAGAAAACAATTAATCAGAATTAGTATGGCCGGGAATGTATACTCAGAAAGAAAGAAAGAAAGAAAGGAAGGAAGGAAGGAAGGAAGGAAGGAAGGAAGGAAGGAAGGAAG